TGCGAGTGAAAGATAAATCTTCTATTAAATTAATTTTTAAATCTCATTTTTCATCTTCGAATTTTTTTTATATCGATGGTTTTTGTTCTCTCCACCCCCAAACGGGACAGAGCGCACCTTTGTTTTTATTACCAGGTCTATGAATTATCTCATAGTCGTAATTTAATAGCTTCGTCGCTAACATATTAAACGGTTATTTTATTTAGGTCTCATTCTAAGATAATTTTAAAGTTTTGTGATCCATAACTAAAATAAAATGTCTCATAAATATATTGATGGAACTTTTCGATAGCGAACATGGTCTCTAAGCCTCCGATTAACGGTGGCGTGATTATTTTCAGCCGCCCAAAGTGTCCTTGATACGTACGCAATCGGTTTCTCTTGCCCAATAAGAAATCGGCGTGCAATAACAGCTCCTAGATCATTTTCGAAAGCTTCACAAGAAATCACAACAGGAATATCGGCTGAATAAGGAATTATTTATATTTTCTTTTGATTTTAACTTCATTAAATATTTCACTTTCTTGACCTGACCAAAACCAACTAACATTTTTACTCGTTAGTCGGTGTAAAGGCGCACAAATAGAATATAAAATTTTAATATACTACTCATGGCAATTCACTATTTCAAGAAACGAACGTAATTCTTTGACACTTGACGGTATTTTACAATTTTTTATGGCAATAATCTTATCTTCTGTCTGTAGGGTGAATTCCGAATTCGTCAATAACATGACCCAAATAAGTAACTGACTTTTCTTCAATTTTAATTTTATAGGTCGTCGTTGTCAGTCCAGCCTTATTAAATCTTCTTACTTCTTCTAGATTAACTATATGATCAAAATTATTCTCGCCCGCAATAATTACACAGAAATGTACACCACTAACTATAGAAATTTTTTTTAATAGGTTGCGCATTCCGGTATAACGGTTCAGTTCACTCCTAGCCCCTAATATTTTTGCGATAAGCACTTCCATAAAATTAAATATGCCAAACCTCGGCAAATTATAATAAGATTAAACCGAACCGATACCTGTGAACTGGTTCGAGCCTCATGATTTTGTGCTTATAAAAATATGTGAAAATTATTAATATATTGATAATTCTAATCTCATTTTTATAACATTAGTATATTTGCAATTTTACAACATTTTTCAATATTTTTAAGTTTAGGACGTGTCCTGGGTCTACTTAATTTCGATACCTAATTTCTTTTTAGTCTGAGAAGATTGTGAACTATAGAATACCCTATTATAATTGTTTTTAATTTTATTCTCGTTTTTTTGTTTTATATTAATTTAAATTTAATATTTTTTGTTTTTCTGGCTGTTTAGTAACAAGTCGTCCTAGGAAACTTTATTTAATATATAAGAATTAAAAGCGATTTTTTAGAAATAATCTCACCTTCAATTTTTATAAAAATTTCAGGTAACAGTAACTAAACTCCTCTTATATTTATAAAAAAAATTCGGTTTGAGACGCGGCCAGCTTCATTCTCAAAACCAATAAAAAGGATTAGGAAAGTATATAAATATTTATCCAAAAGGTGGTGTATTTGTATAAATTTACATATTAATCAGTTTTTAGTTGTTTTTCTTAACTTATTTTTTTTTCGCAAAGGTGTTTTATTTATTTTAAAAATCTTCAATGCACACTTATAAAAATAAAGCAAAACAATGATGAAAATACTATTTAAGAATATTAAAATGATAATTAACGTACTATATCTTAGAGATCTGCAAAGTTGGCCTAATTCTATTTAAAATAATCGGTTCGGGCAGGGCCAGGCCTAATATTTAAAAAAAATTCTGGCCGGGTCGGGTCGGACCTTGGAAATTTTTTTAAATACATCTAAATTTATCAATTTTATATTGAATTTTTTATGTAAAATAAAAATATTTGATTTTATTTATTGAAACTAAACGACATATAACAAATGTCTTTTATTTTGAGTAATTATAAAGATTAATTTCTATATTTAAATAAATACGGGACGGGCTGGGTCGGAAAATTTTTTTAAAAAAAATTTTGGGTTCGGACCGGGCCGGCAAAACATTTCTAAAGAAAATTTCGGGCCGGGCCGGGCTTGAAAAATTAGGCCCGATGCAGATCACTACTATATCTATAATCTATATAAAAATATATAATTAAAAGAAGAAAAATTAATAATTAGGTAAGGTGGGCGGGGCTTAATGACCCATGTATGGATATGCAGTTGGATCGACAGATTTCGATTGATATGCTTTATCGAAGGTAAAGACCTTTTGGATGACTTGTGATTTAACGTAACCTTTGCTCTATTGTTTTGAATAATTTTAGGGCTTGGGGTCCAAATGATCTAGGTGTCTGATACTACCGGAACAAACAAAACATTATTAAGGTGGCTATATTTGTTTTTATGTTTTCCGCTTTCTTGATTGAGTTGGCAGAAAAAGATCTGGCAAAACGATCTACACACGTATAATCCCAAGCGAGAGGTAAACCTTGGTTCCAAGGGACTAGCGTCATACCATCCGGTCTGGTGAATTGATATAATTTAAAGGATTATTAATCTTGCAAGTCAAAATAACAAATTAATAAAAGAAATTGTCAATCGGTAAAAGAAATTCAAATTATTACAATTATTTATAATTTATTAAAAAATTATTTATTCGTTCATATAACATATATTTAATCAATTATATAGTCCTTGAATCAAAATCTGGAGTATCTCATATTCACCTAATTCCGAGATGTAGGGCCTCAAAGATGAGAAAAATTAGGAGCGATGTAAAATTTTTAAATTGCTCATATCTTAAAACCTATTTAAGGTAAAAATAATATAAATATATCATTTTATAGATAAAAAAACCTGTAAAAAAGATCTGTCTATAGAAAAAATAAATGGCGCTAATTTGAGTTAGCTTCCGTTTTACGTTTACACTTGTTTATAAGCAATATTGGGAGTTAGTTTTCGAAAAAAAATTTTTCCCGATATTTGTTTTTTTACTATTGAAATTTCATTTGCATATAGAGATGAGACAATTAAAATATTCTCCTTTTAAATTTATTTGCTTAACTATTAATTATTCATATTTCTTACTATATTTTAAATAATGGAATGAATTTGATTATCTGTATTTCTATATCATTAATAAAATTGAATAATAAAAATATGATATGAAAGAAATTTAATAATTGGAATCTTGATCATTATTAAGATGCCTAAAGGGCATTTGCCCCCCACTGCCTCCGGTTTAATTAGTACATTTAGAAATTCAAAATATTTTAGGATAAAATTGAAATATCCTAATATTGGTAAGTTAACAAAATTTTAACAGCAATTCATAATTTCGTATAGCACTATCTAGGTATAATATGCATATTCCGGAAGAGCCGATAGCGTCACTAGGCTTTTCACATTGTATATATTTATAAAGAGTGTTTAAAGAAAAGGAAAATTTTTTTTTCCAAAAATCAAAAAAATACGCGCCAGAACGTAAACCGGAATTTATATACTCAAAATGACGAATTTTTTTGTCCTTCGATAGACCTTTCGAGATTTTTTTATTTACAAAATGATATTTTTATTTTATTTTTACATAGTTTTTGAGATATAAGCAATTTAAAAAATTTATAGACGAAAAAATAGCCATTTTTCGCACCTTTAAGGCCCCATATCTCGGGATTCAGAGGTACAAGTGAGTAATAAACAGCTTTCTCATTTTTTTACGGATTTAAATAATTCCAGCAATTTTTAATAATTTTAAAAGAGGTCGGCCGAATTACGATTGATTTGTTATAACAATTTCTTTTATTGACTGAAACCCCCCAATGATTGTTATTTTCGTTATAAGATAAATAGTACTTTAAGTTATATCAAATACGCTAAAAAAAAATCATTAAAAACTAAAATATATAATTTTATATAAAGTTTATACACTTTAATTTTTTTTATCGATTGAGAATGACTGACCGCGTCCCAAACCTATTTTTTTTTATTAATATTGAGGAGTTAAGTAATGTCTCCTGAATTTTTTATAAAAATTGAAGGTTGTATTACTATTTTCCAAAAATCATTTTTAATTCTTATATATTAAATAAAATGATTGTAAATTGAAAAAATCAATAGAATTTTTTTTATAATCTTTGACGTAATTTTGATATTAAAGTTTTTAAGATGTTTAATTGAACGGAGACAGATAATGGTAAAATACGTCATTTTTGCCATTTTGAACCCTGATGTCTCCAAAAATATAAATGTTAGGAGGTTAAAATTTTGACAATTTCTGAATTACATTAATCTTTCTTTGCTTACCATATTTTAAAAAAATGGGGTCGGTCGAAAATCATATATTTTGCTCATTTGACTTGGAATACGGCTACCTCTTCGGGACTACCACTCAATCCCTTCATCTATGTTGAATGAAAATTATTATTTTATGAAAGATTTACTTTTATTTAAAATCCAATTTAAATATAATCACTCATAAAAATTAAGATATTAAAAAATTTAGCGAAATTTTAAAAATTATTGTTTTATAAAATCATCAGGGAAGTAACTTATCAACAAAATTACAATTTGCCTATAAAACAAAATAGTTTTAAACTGGGTCAGAAAAATTATATAAAATCGGTTCTCTCCTTTTACTGAGTTACGGTTACAGTTAAGGAAATATTTATAAAGGCGCATTCCGGTATAACGGTTCAGTTCAGTCCGAGTTCCTAATATTTTTGCGATAGCACTTCCATAAAATTAAATTAGCCAAACTTCGGCAAATTATAATAAGATATCTCATAGACCAGACCGATGACCGTTTAAAAAAAGATAAATTTAGACCTATCTTGTTTCAGAACAAAGCTTCACAAAATCTGCAACATAACCAGAGTTCAAATTTTTTTTAGATGAGACATTATGCATTCATCCTAAGGCCATTATAAAACTGATTTGATATTCATTTTTTAATCAAAATATTTGTTGTGGGAAATTTTGTTTTTAAATATTTTTTCATGTCCAAAGTGCGTTCTACATTACATGGTTGGTTCTCATGTTAAAAAGGACAACGTAAGCAAAGATACTAGGGATTTACTTTTATGCTCTGGTTTAATGAAAGCCGCTAGCAAGTATAATCAAAATTTCATTCATTTTTTTAAAAAATTGTAATCCCATTTATTCATATATTGATATCACTTATTACCTTGCCTCAAAGTTTTTTTTGGAAAGGCTCTTTAAAAGTTAATATTTTATTTTGTGTTGGGCTGATAAATCATAATTCATTATATAGATTCTTATGGTGTTTGTTTTTTTTAATAACCACTTAAAAAATATTATAGCGATTCTCTCGAAGTTTCTATATCTAAAGAAGGATTCCAATTTTTGCTCCTCGATACCAACTCTCAAATTTGGTACTTTTTGTTGTACCACTTTGAAATGCTTAAGGTAAATAATGCATTTTATTTTATTCTATTTATTGCCAAAATTTTAGCATATAAATTAATATAACCAATATTGGAAAAATATCCAATTTTTAAAGGTTGATTAGTGCTCCACTCGATATTTAATAAAAAAAAAATACCAGTTTGCTTAGATATTATGATTATCTTATTTAAAGAAATAGAAAAACATTTGATTTAAATCACGATTGATTTTTTTTAAAAAAATAATTGATTTAAATCAAAGTTTGTGGGTTCAATTATATTCTTTTAAATATAAAATTGAATTCATTAATTTTTTAAAACTTACTTCGACAATTTTTTAATGCGCATTGAAATAAGAAAATTATTTATTACGTATTTCATCCTTCGTTTCTTATTTGTTCTTATATTTTATTGTATATATGGTTTGTAGTTTTAATATTTGATTTTAAAACTTTATTAATGAAATATTTGTCTAAACTTAAAATCAAACATAAAAGTAGAATTTCTAATATTTGGTTCACATAAACTTTGATGTTTCTTGAGACATATAAGTATAACAATTACTTGTAATTCATTATTATATCTTTTATGAAACTACTCGATTCTTTCCTCGAATTTAACTTCATTAAAAGAATTCCAAATAAAGTGCTTTTTACGATATGCCATAAGAAATGTATAAAAATCATTTTACGCCTAAATAAAATTTATTACTTAATAATAAATTTATACCAAATTTCGCTTAATTTTTAAAATAAAATTTTTAAAGGTAATAAATCGCTAAAAATAATGTCAAGTAATTAAATTTTTTTTGATTAAAAAATATATATATTTAAAATAACATGTAAACTATTTGTAAAATAAAATTTATATAAAAACTATTTTAAATAAAATAATAATTTAACATTTAATTAGGTATGATCGACGGGGCTTAATGACCCATGTATGGATATGCAGTTAGAACGGCAGATTTCAGTTGATATTCTCTGTCGAAGGTAGAAGCCTTCTTTTGGATCACCTGTGATTAAACATAACCTTTGCCCTATTGTTTATAATTTTAGGGCTTGGGGTCCAAATGATCCACAGGTATCTGAGACTACCGGAACAAACAAAACATGATTAAGGTTGCTATATTTGTTTGTTTTAGTGTTTTCGGCTTTCGTGATAGAGTTGGAAGAAAAAGATCTGGCAAAACAATCCACGCAAGTATAATCCCAGGCAAGAGGTTGACCTTGGTTCTAAGGAACTAGCGTCATACCACCTGGTCTTGTTTGATTGTCGGGACTGAGGCCGGATGGTTCCAGGGTAGACGGAATATTTGAGGATTTCAAGGTTATGTTGATGATTGAATTGATAGCATGGTGTCTGGGTATGCCTTTTGAGAAACGACAGTGAAGGGGGTGGTGTCCAAGACTATCGATGTGGGTTTCACATAGGACGCATGATGTAGGTGTTACTATTTCACATCCTAAGCGAAGGCCTATGGCTATTCTGAGTTCTTCGTTGGTTAATAACAAGCCTAGATTAGAACTAGGTACAGTTTCTAACCATTCATATCCTAGATGGCATATGAGTGAAGTTGGAATTATTGGATCTGGCAGAGGGGTCATATTATTGTCATTATGCATAATTGGGTTAGAGTTTAGGTGGAGAAATAGGGATGGAAATTTTCTTTGAACAGCTTTGAAGCAAGTAATCAACGCAATGCTGTATCAATGGAAAGCTTCAGTCTCTTTTTTTAGTGAATCTGGATATGAGCGATTTGGGACATTTTTGCTCCAGAGGTCTAGTGCTGCCTTACGATGTGGGTCGATATTCAAGTCTCCCAGTGTGTGTCGAAATTTAGCAACTGAGGATAAAAAAGCTGAAATTCTTAGGGATATGGGGAATTGTATACCTATACCACCTAGCTTTGGTGGAAGGCGGCTTGCATCCAGGAGAATGATGAAAATTTGATTTATTATAGATTCGAGAGTATTTTTTAAGTGGACTTCGAGGTCCAATAATACCTCAGGGGATGTGAAAATTGTAGATGAACGAAAGGCATGTAAAATTTTTGGAATGAATAGAAAATTTTTCAGTAAATAGAAAGCCTGATGAGCAGGTAAATTGTTTAAAATATTTTTCATCTATTAAATTTAGCAAGGAATTCATCTATAAAATGAAATATAGCTTTTCCCCCTCCAATGGGTGAACCTAAATGGGTAAAGTTGGCTTTGTCCACTAAAATAAATTTTCGGGTGGGCAGTCCGATTCAGAAGGGGAATAAAATTCACACTTATGAGGGTACATTGACAATCCTGTAATAGGGATAAATGATTTATAATTGATGGAATTTTTATGATTTCGTTATAAGGGCCTGCTAGTGTGCCATCGTACAGGTACCATACATTTAATTTAAGATCACAATTGGAAGAGATTTCTTTTATAATTAATTGAATGCCTTGGCAGAATAATGCCGGACCTAAAGGGTCTCCTTGTTGGATGCCCTGTTTAGAGAGAATAATAGAATCATTAAATTTTAAAAAGGTGGGTTGGTTGTAATATGCGATGTATGTTGTATAATCTGGAAAAGTTTCACAAAAAGAGGGTATAAAATGTCCTCCTAAGTGGAAGGCATTATGTAGGTCGATTTTGAGAATGCATTGATCATGTGTATTATGGAGGATGACACGTGTCGAGTGGGATGCAGCCTCATATCCTCCAGGAACATTAAAACCAAGCTGGTTTGGTTGTAGTAGATTGGATAGGTAAGATTTTATACAGGAGCAAATTATTTTGGAAATGATTCGCTGGAAGAGTGACCCTATTGCAATAGGCCTGATGTCCTCATTGTTTTTTTTAAGGATATTAAGTGGGCTCCAAAAATGATGGGCTGAATAGGATTAAGTATATTATTATGAAAGATATGATTGAGCAATATGATGAAAATTGTGTAAGTATATTTTGATATAAGGGTATAGTTGGTTTAATTATATCTTAGGATAAATGGCTCGAAAGCCATCGATGCCTCCTGAAGAATCTTTTTTGAATGACTTTATTGTTTCCAATATTTCCATCTCGGTTAGTGGAATGGGATTATTAGATGGTGGAAGGATGATTTGTGAAAAATCTTGAGGATGTTTAGCTTGCATGACCTTGAGAGTTATATCATTATTGGGGGCCATAGTATCACTTGAACAGACTATGTTGATAGCTGAATTTACATTGCATAGGTTTATTTTATTTTCAATAAGCTTGGCCTTTTTTTATCTGTCCTAAGCTTATTGAAAGAATGTGGAGGTTGTTTGGGAATATCAAAATAACTATTATCATTTGAATTTAATGCTTTTTTGATGTTTTGTGTTAAGTTTGATTTTGATGTTGGGAGATGTAGATTTAAATATATAAATGATAATAGTTTAATCCAATTATCTAAGCTTTTAATATTTTTATTTAGGTAGGTTAAAATATCTAAAAAAAATTGTGAAATATAATTCTAGCACCTTTTGGAATACGAGCTATTGTGGGGGGGGGGGATTTCTTTCATAAATTTTTCTAACCATTCTTGTGCCTCAGCAATAAACTTTGAATTAATGTTATTATCTGGGCATGAAGATATAATAAAAGGGATTGTTTCTGTGTTGAAGCTTGAAGTTGTAGGTATTGGTTCCTAATACTATTAATAAGAGAAGGATAAGAAGAAGGAGGCATAACAGGTGCATTGTTGTTAAAGAAAGTACCTGATGAAGGGCATCTGTTTGCTCGTTTACCATGACAAATAATTTTATTTCCTTTTATTAGGGATACATTGTTTGTGCACGTGGGACATATCACCGTGGTTCATATTGTTATGTATGATTATGTTTAAAGATTACTTTATATTGAAAGATTCTTGATTTACAAAACAAAACTTATCTCAGATTCAATCAGGGTCAGCTGGTGGATTGATGAAAACTTCTCATAAAAACACTTCTACCTTAATCTAATTTAAATCAAGATTTTAAATTATATAAAATCGACTTTTTGAATTTTTTTGAAAAAATCAACCAAATTTATATAATAATAATAATATATTTTAACAGGTGTACCGATTTTTATTTTAATTAATTTGCAAAAATTCATATATTTTTTTTATTGTTTACTTTACTCTACTTTTCTCTACTTAATTATACAATCATTATTATGTGTCAGGGATATAGATTTAAGAATTTTTAAAAAATTAAACCCAGCCCGGATCTCCTTTTCATAAATTTAGTTCTAAACTTAAATATTTAGTTCCGATTTATTGATCTTTGTCTAAATAGAAACTCTTCCTTAAGAAATACACCTTCGCCATTTATTTTATAGAAAAAATATATATGTAGTATATTATGACATATTATGATATATTAAGATATTATAATATTTTGAAATATTATATTTCGTTAATAAAATTTATATAATAAGGATCGCCCGGATGAATTAGTGGAATCCTTGAAATTTTTGTTGCAACTTAACTTCTCCGTCGTTGGACAAGTATTTTTCTCTTCTAATTAAACTTTTCCCTCTGGAATTTAAGGAAAATCTAAGATTATATCTTAAAATAATTCTTAAATCCTCTTTACTATCTTAATTTAGTTATTAATTAATAATGTATATTTTTTTAAAGACATAAGAAACTAATATATAGGCCTATTTTTATAATATATTTTAAAAAATTGATCTTTATAGTAAATTTATACAAATAAAATTTTTTGTTTAAAGGTTTCCAAAAATATTTTAAAAAAATTATAAATATGCCATTATATATATTTATCAATTAGGATTATCCTTCTAACAACTTAAGTATAACTATAAACAAGTTATTGCAAAATCTGCGTGAATTAGGCATAGTATACCAAAGAAAAGTAAAATAAATTCCTTATTTTATGTTAAAAAATTATTTAGAGGAGTTTTTTTCTTCTGTTTATACATATTTTCTTAAACAAATAAAATTATAATTACTAAGCTTAAAAATAATGGTCTTTAAAAGTATAAATTACTTTAGTGTTGTTGAGACAAGGGATTGCATCATTTTCTAACCCAATTAGACATTTTTTTATTATAAAATCACTCATTTATATTATAATTAAACAAAAATTATATATGATATATTGATTATTCCAAAATAACATCCCCTACCTAATTTTTTTAAAAAAATTTCTACCCATATATTATTTTATACGTTGAACCATTCAGAGATCGGATGGCAGGTTTTATCCAACATCTTTGGCCGTGAGCCTAATTTGCGCGTCTCAGAACAGCAAGGCCTCGAAATATACCTCATCATCAACATTTAACAACCACGACAAAAGGTTGGGTCATATCATCGTTGAAACCAATTTTCGGGTTTATGCCTATAGCGGTAATATAAATTTATGGGCTCATATATCTTTATTTTTCTTTCTATCTTTCTTGAAAAGGAAATAGAAAATAATAAATCTTATTTTTTTTTCTACTAAATATAAAAGAATATAATATACAAACTGGGGGGGGGGCTCATCTTATTGGATATGCAAACTTTTTCTCTGCTTTAAAATTACCCGATTTAGAAAGAATATGTCTTCTTAATTTATTTTTTTAAATATTTTATAAAAGGTCTGATTTATGGATATTCTGGTTCTTCTATGTTTAACTTGATTCATAATGATCAGAGTTTACGCTTTTCTTCCATATATAAACTCAAATGACTTCTACGATTGTTAAAACGTAACGTACCCTCTTACACTTAAGTTATTTTTTGTTTGGGCTGTAAATTTGCAAAAAAATAAACATCAGCTGTCTAGTCTTTTTCCATTTCTTTGTTGGTAGCCATTGATAATATGTGCGAATCATTACAAAAACTATTTAAGTATTCGGAATCTTATAACATAAATAGACCGATTATTATTCCTGAAATCCTCATCTTATTGAGACAATCCATCACATGAATTCAAATATATTACAGTGATTCCATTTTAAACTGTCTAATGTTTTAGCGATCGTTAAAATAAATGATTTGGCATGATATTTATTTATGTAATAAATATTAATAAAATCTATATTTTTGAGAATTAGTTTAACCAAATCCAAAAAGTTATATATGCCTGGTTGAAAATCGCGAAAATTCTAAATTTTCTGGTCAGAAATTATATATCAGTTGGTTTCTTATTTTGTAAAATTAAAAAAATTTTGAAAAAGGAATATTCCTGGGTACTAAACTTCAAGAATGTTTATAACATTTTAATTTTTAACTAAAAAATCGTTAATATATTTTTGTTACTTATTTTTTTAAATAACTTTAAAGATTTTATACCAAAGATTGTCAATTTTTAAATCCAGATACATAGTTATAAATACGTTTTAAAAATTACTGTATAAGATACAGATACCAGGGTTGGCAAGTCGGTCAATTTACCAGTCAAATTCAGTCAATTGACCGGAGGAGTATTTGACAGGTCAAATACTCTAAAAAAATTAAAAATTAAAAATATGTTTAAAAAAAGAAAAAACGATGTAAATACATGTGATCACAATGTTTGCTTATTTTTTGTGTCCACAATATCAAGAGGAGAACTCACTATTAGTGAAATTAATAAAGTATGTGATATAATTCAAGAATTAGCTATTTTACAAGGTAGTGATGACCAAAATATTTTAAGTTATATAATTAATTTCAGAAGAAAAAACAGCATGTTTAATATAGCAATCTATGTGGAAAGTAGTAATTTCCAGAAACAATTAATTCCGACCTCTAGTTAATAGATTAAACTTTGTCCACCCTGCCCATTAAGAGACTAACAATTCCTAATTCTACTTCTTCTTTAGAAAGAAATAGGTCGATTTGGGTTAATATTCTTATGAAAATAGAAATCGATTGAAGATCTAAGACAGCAGGAAAATTTATTATAAAATATTAAAGAAAATGATAATATTGAATATGAATCAGAACAAAACTCTGCTACAGATAGCTACACGTTAGTTATTGAATGACAATGAATTTAAAAAATTAATGTTATAGATTCATTTTACTATTATATTCAAAATAAAGTTAATATTAACTTAAAAAAACATATATTTGAATTTGACCATATTTGACCGTCAAATATCGGTCAATTGACCGAAACGTATTTGACTTGTCAAATGCACAACCCTGACAGATACAATATGCTTTTTCAAAAAGTTGCAAAATAGTGATATTTAAAAAATCAAAAAAAATATATAATATGTTTATACTTATGCAAGCTATCAATATCAAGAAAATTCTCTTGGATAATATGATATTTTTAACTGTTTTATTATTTTTATAAGGTATATTCTAACATCTTTAATGAAAGTGGATGAATTTTCGAGTTTTATGTATTAATATTATTTTTGAAAGTAGCATGTGCTTTATCAAACAAGAAATTTTCAAATACCTTTTTTTTATCGTCATTATTAACCCAACTAATTTTAAAGTAAGGATATGGTAGTTTAAGATCTCATTTTAATTTCAAATTAAAATTAAAAATATTTTCAAATTTTATATTGAGTCAAATTTCGATGGCCCTAAGAAGTAATAAACCAAAACCTTATTTGGTTTTAAGTAAATCATGTATACTTTTTATAATAAATAAAATGGGGACCAATTCCTCATGATTTGCTAGTGTTGTCAGACGGCTCGATTTGACCCGGTTTTTAATAACTCAATATTTTAGTCAGAAAAATGCCCGAAACTCTTGATTTCACTAATTGATATCCATACATTTGTACAATCTATGACCAAAAATCTTCAAACTTGCATAATATTTTTATGTATGAAATATTGAGTTAAACTAAAATCAGCACAAATCGAGTCGTTTAACAACACTAATTTTACATTTAAAACACCTCATTAAATCTTACGATTTTCAATGTTCCGCATTACTAACATATCTTACTTGAGAAGTATCGCTACTTTGCTCGCAATTTATATTGCCCACACATTTTTTTATAAACTATGCGATTCTTAGCCTGTAATTTTCGTCATTCATCTATGTTATTTTAAATGAAATTCATTTTCGCTTTAGATCATTCTATGTCATTTGCGCTAGAAAATCAAGATTTTCTGCCCACCCCTTTTGATTTCGATGATAATTTATTAACTGGTTATATATGTTGACATTAGATCAATTATTTTTTTGTGCATTAGCAACTATATTAACCGAGATAATCGGGGTTAAAGGTCCAAAAATCGTCTTTTTGCTCCTTTTACTGATGTTAAATAACTAGAAGACATGGTAAATAAATTCTTTAAATCCTGGGTTTAAAGCAGATATTGCAACATATTTTACTAATCGACACAAACGCATATGTTTTGTTGAAAGTTTAAAACGATAAGGTCTTTTTAAAAAACATTTAGTCAAATTGAAACAAGGAGGAAATAGCTTGGTATTATTTGAGTATAATAAATAAAATCTGTATTTTTAAATCATATATAATGAAGATAGTGAAAAACGAATTGTAATTTGAAAAATAGGTCTCTTCGTTTCAGATATGTGATTCATTCTTTTAATTATACTTTTTATGGAGGCTGTGCACCCACATAAATTTGCCAATGGCTGCAAGGGACCCACAGCCCTAACGAAGTCGACGCCTAATGGTCGAAACTTGCTACACTTCCTCAATAAAGCACCTATTTTTATATATAATAATTTCATAAAAAATAACAAAATTCCTTCAAATCATCAGTTGATATATAATGAATTAACCAACAACTAATGTTGATCACTACCTAAATAGGCAATGGCCATATGAGAACAGTTAACTCTGCCCAACACACCTCGTCCTTCATCTTCTCCATGATCAGATATTCCACCAGTTGGAAGCTCTTTCGATAATCTTCTAATCTAGCCAAATGTCGATTTCATTTGTGTTTTGTTTATGAGAAATCGCAGCGATTGCTAGATGATTTAAATTTAATGACTTCACACGTCAAACTTCTTTCCCGCTAAATCAATCATATTTTTTTAAACAGAAAATTAAGGGATTTTTTTTATTCTAATATTTTTTTGAGTTATTTTATTTTCGCCCTGCTTTATCCAACTTTTTAAAAAGCGAAATGAAAAAATATTAAGCCGGAATTTAAGAGATATATTTTGAATTAAAAAAAAATAAAATTTATACATATACAATATTTTTTTTATAATTTTTGTACGCTTGTTTTTTTAATAAATGGAATCGATCAATAAATATAAATACATGTATATAATAATAATAATAAAAATATTATCAGTATATCTGCTTGCCTATTATATCACAAAATTTATATCCGCCCCCACCCCCACCGCCGATAAATTGGAAAAAATGCCCGAAACAAGCCTTTTCTTCTTATTCTACCCTTAAAATATTTCAAATTCATCTCGCTTCCGTTGTTGTAAAATTATTTTAATCCTCTCGTCAAATATCCTCCCCGTGTAGACCTCTAATATATAATCAATATACATCTTTTTTAAGAATTCCATCTTGTGCGACTTTCACCATACTATATTTAGATAGCATATTATCATGAGTTATTTTTATTTTATCTAATAAAATATTTTTAATAGAGAGATATATTTACATTTTTTAGAATTAAATTTGTTGTACGGCTAAGTCTAAATTTAAAATGAGATCTACATTATGATTGACAGTCGTATACCTTCACTAGCTCTTGCTAGATTGCCAATGAGTTTCGTATTAATGATGTGTTATTATACTTTTTTTTCAATTAAATTTTAATCATTGATTATGATCAGGGTATATATATAATTTAAATCATCGATTTTTTTATTTAAATCAAACTTTTAGGACGAATTTTATACGATCAAACAATCTAGGGATATTATTTTACAACCAGTGATTTGTGAATAAAAATTTTGCACCATGTAATAAATTTATGCATAATTTAAGGCTTAAAAAATTGGGAATATTATTTCCATTTTGATCTAAACGGTTTGTTTAAAAGGATCGTATAATAATGATACTGTCTTAATTAATTTTTTTATTTTTTAGAATAGAATCACTAAATTTAAAATATATAGGTAACATCAAAAATTAAATTATATGATAAAGATAGTAAAATAGTTTGGAAATAATTTAATGTTATAATTATAAATAAGCTAAAGCATTATGCCTATTTTATTTGTCCTAACATTTGATTTAAATCATAAAAAAAATCAAATAAACGAATTAATTTTTATTTCCACACCCTGGTTCTGATTAATCTATCACATTCACATTTATATATAAATATAATAGTATAAAGGTATTTACTAAAATTATTTGTGAAACACAGATTCCGATTTGCAAATTGAAGTCTTGTCCTTATTTTGTGATATGCAATATAGGTAAATTATAAAAAAATTAATCTAAATATGTTTTTATTAGAAATTTTATATAATTTTTGTAAATCCATCAATTTCATTTGTGTGCTAACAAGTGAGTCACTTGAAGTGATGCAAACTATTTAAATAACGCGGCTAGATAATTTAATATTAGTTTACATTAACTATAAATATATTTTACAAGTTTGAATTGTTACGCATAAAGTTTAAAACGATATTTTACACAATATATACAAAATTTTCAAAATATTTACTATTCAGGAGCAATAAACTGTTACCGTTTAAAGGGTTTTTCGGGTTTTAAAAGAGAATATTTAGAAGATTGAATTTTTCTTAAATAAAAATATAAGAGAAATGGATATAATATTTGATAAGAGTATGATAATGCAAAGGTTATAAATATTTGGGTGTGTATTTCATTATTACTATTATAAACCTGTATTCAATTTGATACGGCTAAATGGATTAATTTATATTTTGTTTATATAATATCAATTTAAGATTTAAATCTTACTTATCTTCTCCAATGCTTAAAAACGAGGATAATCGCCATAATTAGAAATGTAAATAATTAAATAAAATGAAGAATAAGTATATAATGTAAAAAAAAATGACCGTTATAAAAATTATAAAACTCGATAGGGAAAATATTACTTCTCAAATATATGGTCTTAAATTACATTTTATAAAAAATCAGAACCAGTTTAGAATAAATATTTAGGTTCGATTCGCTACTTTTGGTTAATGTCCAGAATACTTTAAAGGTGCATTCAAGTATAATGGTTTGGGTCTAGGTATATTTTTAGATACCTTTATTATCTTACCCTGCCATCATTTTATCCATTTAATGATCAAAAATTTCTGGCACCCCCATTATGATTTTTTTTATTAAGTGTTTTTGTTTTACTTTATAAGAATAAAAGGCTAGAATTCTTTATTAAGTGGTTTAATCTTATATTTATAGGGTTAGTATATTCCTTTTTTGAACATGGACTTCTCTCATATCACATTAATACCCTTAAATGTTTTCCTCGAATGGCGATTACCAAAAGGATATTTCGGCGAAATCTTTACTGCGAATATATAACCGCAAAATTATTATCGTCAATAGATTCCCACTTATATATTGCCGCGAAACATGATCGCGAAAGCATTACAGCAAATTCAGAACTGCAAATTATCGAAAATGCATTCAAAGCTAAAATCTGGTGTGGGCTATGGTTAGATTATTATTAATTAATTAATAAAAACAGTAGTAAGGTAAACACAATTAATTTTGAAGAACTGGAAAATGACAAAAATGACGACATAAATAAAGATTACGACGACATAAATAAATATTACGATCTGCTAAAATAGTTCTGGAAAAAGGTCTTGATAGCAAAGAGAATAATGCATACAAAGTGATATTAAACTGAACGTAGCGACGACGATGCAAGTTACAGGCACAAGATATACAATCATATCGCATCCTGTAGCTAATAAAGTGGGCATCAAAAACATGAAGAAATTTCACATCAAATTAACAGGTTATGATAGGAATATGATAAAGTCCTTGGCATTGCACACATTAACGTAAACTATGAAGGCATAATAAAAAATTTGGAAGCTTATATTGTGGAAAGTACAAAAAGTGCATTCCTTAGTAGGGTATGATGCGTTTAAAGGCATTTTAAAGAAATTAATAGAGAATAATGACAATAACTATAATGATAAACCAGTGCAATTGAAATATGAGAAAATGGGAGCAGAAACTTCGTGTGATAAACGTATACGGAAGTCATAGACAATAAAAGGAGAGGCGATGTTATAAAAAATAGAACTTATATAAAAAGGATTAATAAAAAAATAGAAAATGAACCAAATATAGTCAAAGATTGCCTTTTCAAATCAGACAAAATAGTTATAAAACCTAAAAAAAACTACAAAATGTACATGCTAGACATCTGTGAGCAAAACCAAAGTATTGGCAATAGATCATGCGCGGTGGCCTGGAAACAATCCTGAGACAGATTTGAGTATAAATACTTCCCAAATTTTTTTTAGAATGGGAAAAGGAAGTAACTGAGAGGTTCAAAGATTTTATCATGTCTATTGATGAGACATTAAAAAGATCTCAGTATGTTAAATATTTAGAAAAATATGTAATAAATAAAATATTTCATTAAAAACTTTAATCTATCAAAAAAATTTCGACGTCATCTAAATTCAAATCCTACTTTAAATGTATTGATAAAATATGATTAAATCAAATATTCTTAAAAAGATATTTATAACACGCGCCAAATTAATATTAAATAAACGCTAAGATAAATATTAACGCCATATTATTAAAATGCAATTTGTAAAATTTAATTATTCCAACCCAATTCAATATTATTCCAATACATTATATAAAATGACTATAATATAATAACCACAAATAATAATGATAAACTATGATGATAATAACAACTGAGTGGTGTTGATAATGACAATTTGAAGCATAACTGCTAGGAAACAAAACTGATGATCAGGCTGATGACATAACGTTAACGTTAAACAATATGGACAACAGACAAACCGTTAAGCGGCGATTTGAATAAACTTGCGTACAAGATCAAGAACATTAGAACGGGAAAACCTAGGTGGTGTTTCTTTGGAGGGTAAAATGTTAAATTTTTCAAAGATATTTATTTTATACCTAACGATTTACATTTTTTATTATTTTATTACTTAAGTTAAATTTAATCTTAAACAAAGAACATTTTGTTCGTTTTGCATAACCTAATGATTGATTATTATTTTATTATTTATTTTATCGATTAATATAAAAGATATATATAATAGCAAACATTTTTCTAAAATGAGATGGTATTTTTATTTTGTGACACATTTATGATATGTATTTCTATATACTTTTGTTTACTTCTCATGTGCTTTTGATTTTGATTACTCCTTATGTTCTTATATTTATAGATTACTTCTCATGTGCTATAATTTGCTGATGAATAAAATTACAGAAAATAATCTTGAACACACAATTTTAACACTAACCATAGCCCACACTTAAATGCATCTCGATAATACATTTACAATTCTGGGAAATTATGATGAATACATAAGTGTATTTTACAAATATAATTCTATAAGCTATCTGGAGATATAATATATTAATAAATATTAATGAAACTTACCCTTAAATTTTTTATTTTTCTCTTTGTTAACTTGTTTCTCTGCTTCTTTCAAACACATTACGGAAATAAGAATCTTCTTTATGATTTTTTTCTTATTATTATTTGAAAGTATGAGCTGACCAAAAAACATCCATGTAAAACTTGTTCTATTGTTATGTATGGTCAGGATTTGGCAAATTTTCATATAATTGTATCCGGATAAAGATGCCTTTTTAAAAGATTGAATTTAAGATATTAGATACTTAGCAAATATTTCAATAAGATATTTGTATCTTTTTTTTTATAAAGTATCTAAGATATACATTTTTGAAGTTTAATAGTCAATCGAAATGTATTAAGGTTCAATAATAGATAATGGATGCATTCCTTTAAAAGCAAACAAAGTTAATAGATTATTAAATTTTTCCCAAGATATTGTTTTCTCTTGAAAACTTTCAGTTTTTACAATTTCTTTTTGTTTTTAGTTTGTGTAATACTTAATGATGATTCATGTAATTTTATATGATTCTCGATGTTCTCTCTATCAGTGAAACAAAAATATTTCAGATTATAGGTTTTTTACTATTATTCTTTTATTTTAAATACATTTTATTAATATTTCTTTTTAATTCTAGATAATTTTTTATATATAATTATATTTCATTATCAATCATTAATATGAAGATATTTTTCAAAAAATTTTCTAAATTTAGCATATGAATGATATGATATTGAATATGAAATGAATATCATTATAATTGTGATTTTTAATAAAATATAATATACTTTTTAATGGTTGACGAAATTAGATAATGAATCTGCAAAGCTACATGAATTTGTGACATTCTTTACTATGTAGTAATACATTATTGGGAGTATGTTCATATTGGATGACTTTAAAAAATTTTCTATTTTATATGCTACTTGATTCGTAATTTTTGGGATAATGATGGATATATGGCCATTTTAATGGTAGTTGTTTAGAAAATTGTTATATGACGATTGACGACCTATATCTTTAACTTATCTTAAAATATCTAAATGGGATTAAATTTTTAATTTTAAAATGATATTTTAAATTAACGAATATATATGTTTTTATAGTATCTGTATCTTTTAAATATAAATTTTATTAAGATACAGATATTTTTAAATAATTTATATTTTGGGTACAAGATCCTTTCGAAAGTTTACAAAGATATCCAAACTATATTGCAGATCATAGGTCATATAGGTAACATTGTAAAAAATATAAATGATAGTAATATTAGTAAAAGTTTAATTTATTATAAATATTTTTATACAAGTTTTGGGTTCTATTTAAAAATTAGAGCCTGAAATTGTTGGCGGGATTAATGTCTAAAAATGATCGACGTGGCGCAGAGGTCTAGTTAAATCAATATTAATGTCTTGTTGAATTTTATCGGAGTTAGATAGGGATTGACCTGGCAGTTACTAGGGCTACCTCGTCCGTTATTGTGTGACATGATTTTCTGCTTTTAAAACTTTTTACATACGTTTTTATATAAAGATGATGTTTTAAAATATAAAATTTTCAATATTTTAGGATTTTGTCCCCCAAAAAACAAAAGATCTCAGACTAACGTCTCCAATAAAGATAATCAAAAAGCATTTCCAATAGTTTATTCAAAAAAGGAAGTATGTGTTGAAACCTTAAATATTTGACTTGATCTCGAATTCGGTCAAAAATTAAAATGAGATGACAAAATTACAATCTTCTTCATCATGTCAAATCCAAAACATTGAGATCTTTAAAACGAGTCTTATCCTTCCACATGGCTTAGCTTTGGGCCATATCAAAGTCATTTTTCTTACCATCATCTCCTT